AGATAGGAATGTTACTTCTATGAACAATGTATCACTGCCGCTTCACACTTTCTTTACCATTTTTTATAAGAGTTTGGGGGCAAACGATCGGCGAGAAAACCGAGGTGATCAACGACACCCATGGACATCTGCGACATCAGAGGAACTGCAGATGTTACTCATAATAAATAAAGCAATATATTATATGTAATTTGGCATTTGTATATCTCTCCTCTAGTCGCAGCCAGAGTTAAGCATCAGCAAGCGCATACGACGTAGCGAGGTGGTACTACGCCAGGCGGCAGACTGTGTTAGCCGCGGACACACCTTCCAGACAGTCTCTGAGCAGTTCAACATACCCATATCTACTATACGGTAAGATTAGCTTAGCCTGTTTCCGCATACTATATTTTTTTAACTTAAATACCTTTAAAAATAATAATATTACAGATTCTTCATGGCGCGTAAAGGAATTCTGCCACGTAGACGACGCGGTCGGAGCGCACAGGTACGTAACTTAAATTCTTTTGATGTGTCTGATAAAGCAAAATGCTAACATTTCTTAACTCCTAGATGAGTCAGATCAGCACCAGTCCTGAGCCACCGTTCAACATGCAGCACTTCAAACTGCCGGACTTCGGTCTGCCCAAAGACGACTCCAATTCCCCAACAGACATCAAGTTGCAATAATTCGTCATACTCACCTTATTCTCATAAAAACTTTGCTTTGTTCCGAACAATAACCGACAAAGAACCGACATGGAATCGACTAGGGACCGACATTGATTTATAACTGAAGATGTCCTCTGTCAAAATACTTGTATGAAAACATACGTTTTTGATCTGGTCTTTCAACAGTGGAAACATAAGATTATTTTAAGTAATTTGCTTAGAAAATATTGAGAATACTATTATTACGTTTGTTTCAGTATTAAAAAAAGTGATTGGAACAAAGTATAGGTTATGAATTGTAGGTTTGAATAGTGTAGTGTGTATATGAATTTTGACAAACCATCCAGTAACCCACCACAACTATTTAGAGGTTATATTTTTATTATATAATAATACGATTATTTTAACTTTGATAACTAAAGATTGTAATGAACTTGAAAAGATGATTTAATTTGTTAATTTACAACAGTGGTAGAACCCGCTTTAACATCTTCGCAAGAATTGTCCCGACTCGCTCGGTGAAATACCACGACCACACAGAAGACAGACGTCAAGTGGAAGCTATTCCGCGTGCAGTTTAAAGAGTGTGCGTCCCGGAGGCGTAATTTAGTCCTCTTTCCCTTCCCACCCTATTTCTTATAAGAAAAGGATTGGAAGTGGAAGTGGACTTTCCGGATGAGAGGATGCATGGAAAGGCAAAATATTTTCTTTCTATGCATCCTCTCCTCCGTCGATTATAGGTAGGCAACGCATATGCAATTGCGTATGTCTATGGGCAACGGTCACTTCGCTATTTTAGCGATTTCAGGTTGCCGCTCGCTCGTTTGCCATCTTATGATATAAAAAAATCTGCTAACCAGTGTAGACTAGTCTGGTTTGGTCTGCATGACAGTTTTAACTAATTACATTACAAAGTTAAAATAATCGTATTGTCTTTTATAGCAGCTTTTTTTAAGATTTTTTTTAAATGTTTGACACGATTCGTCACTTCCTGCATTTTTTGTTCCTATATTTTTTTTGTATAAAATCTAAGCATTTTGATATATTTTTTTAATTATAATTGACGTTACTTTGAGTTAGTCAATGCTTTTACATAATTATGTCGTATATACAATGTGAATATATAAATTAGAATCTCCAAATGTATAAATATAGTTTCGTAGAATTTTGTAATGCATTAGTTGATAAATATTTGAAAGAAATAATAGTTCTTATGTACTAAGCAGCTTTATTAGAATAGTTAAATTTAATATGTTTAGACTGTATATAGCGTATGTAGATCTATCACAATACTAACCTAACTAAAACTAACATAACCTAAAAAAAAATCTCCCGCTCTTTTTTTAAATTCCTACTACTTTAATTATTAAACTAAATTACACAATACAGCACCTAACAGTTAACACATTTCCTAAATAAAAAAGTACCAAATAATATTTTTGTTGAACTATGTAAGTAGGAATTGACTTTTAATCTATTTACTCTTTGGTTATCTGTAGAAGTTAAAATGTTGCTAGCATAAAAAACAGTCCTTCCTTCCTTCCTGTCAGCCATGAGACGCCCACTTCTGGGCATAGGCCTACCCCAAAGATCGCCACGATGACCGGTCTTGTGCCACCTGCATCCAGGAAAAACAGTAATAAAAGTAATTTGTCGAATAAAAAAATAAACCCACAAATGTATGCATTAAGCGCCAGTTTCTGAGAGAATATTCCAGAACGTTCCAGAATGTTCTTTATAAAATTCTGGAAGCTATAAATAGCAACGTCGGCTTTTAGTTAGGTTAGTTATCATAGAATTGGTTAATCGAATACACATTGTAACTACGCTATATTTTGTAGTCGTGCAAAACAATTTAAACAGTAAATAAAGTATGTAATATGTTATACTACAAATAAAATTAGTAATATCAGGGATAGAAATTATTTTTGTACACAATATAAATCTTGTAATAGATTCAGTGTTACACAGACGTGTTATTTTTCTGTAATTCAACGTAAATAGTAGATAATTTGTTCGAAAGCATCATATGACATTAATGGACATAATGAAGAAAGTGTACTAAGGTATTGGAAATATATTTGTTTTCTTTGTCAAAAAAATAAAAGTCTTACTGACAGCCACATTCAGAGTCACTGGCAGCTACATACAGAGTCGTTTATTACGTACGGCCCTTAGTGTACATTTAGTGTTAGAAATCTCAGCTAAGGGACTGCTTAAATACTATTAAATGTCTGATTGTGGAAGTTAGAGTTTAAAAAACATTTTGTCGTGCAAATAAATTCAGATATAAAGTTATATATCAAAACTTTTAGTAAAAATAGAGTCGATTAATTTTGGTATCGATGCGATAAAATTTCTATTAATCTTGTACAATTTGTGTAAATCTCATTATTTTTATTATTTTTAATTGTTTTTTAAGTCGTAACTTTAACGTTCGAAGGGCTTTTGCCTATAAATGACCAGTGGGTTTGACATTTCCCTCTGTCAAAATTAGCGGGTTAATTTTGACACTTTATTCTGTTAAGTTTCTTTTGTTTGACCACTGATGTTATTTATTATGAATATTGTGTTTAACATGTTTTCTACTACTATTATTTTGATTAGTTAGTTTATGTATCAACGAAAATTAAACTTTATTCATTGAAATAAAAATGAATGTTAAATATCTCTAAGTTATAAACTCTGACCGTATGGCGTAATTATAAAAAAGAGCCGCCATATTGAAATTTCAAATTTTCAACCAATCAGAGGGCAGTATTTACGACGGTGGCGCCGCCACTTCACATGGTCAAACTTTAAATCATAATGAGACGCTGTTGTAGTTGTATTTGGACAGTATTATTTTATGAACAATATTTTAGAGCCTGTAGTTTTTAGAGATTTATATGAATATAATTTTAATTACGACTTTCCAATATTGGAATCATTTTATAATTTAATTTTCAAATATCGATTTTGATATATGTTTATACGTAAGCTATGCATTTTAATGACCAAAAATTTTCATCAGATAAATACAACATGCATTTAAATTTTAAGGTAAATCAGTAAATCTGCGGTAAAAAGTGGCAATTTGTTGTGTCATTTCTATAAATAATGACTGATTATTATTTCATATTTAAACGTATTTCAAGAATTATTGTATCGCAAATGGATTAAGTTAAAAGAGTATAGTTCGCTTAACTCTTTTTGAGCCATTAAATGTGTCGAAAAAATGCCGCTTTCAGGCGATAGATGGCGCCACAAGACATTGCTTTTTGAAGTTATATTGTATATATAAGTTACAACCCGACTACAATAACATAATACCCGCTAGCAAATTTTATTTCAAATTAACAAAACTTATTTCAATATACAACTTCGTCACTAGATGTCATACCATGTTATTGTGGTTGTATTATACTTGAAATAGTACTCAAAAGATTGCGTGAACTATACTTATGTGCCATGTTCATTGTATGCTGGGTTGAGAGGGGAGCTTGGCCCAATATAGGTCATTTTACAATGTGTATACAAAGTACTGTAGACGTGAGAGTGTGTAGACATACAAGTGTAATAAAGTATTTTGTGTAATCAATTGCTTTTAATTTTTAATCTGTAAACTATGTCAATCATGACAACTGTTTGAAGTAGATAATCTAAACCAGCCAGTAATAATCAATAATTAGCTGTCAAAAAGAAATCTGTAATTAGTAGTCTATGTGTTCTACCAGATTATGTTCAACATCTATGCCAAATTTCATCGAGATCCATGCATCCACTGGAGATAACTAACAAACGTCTATCCAAACAGACATTCGTATTTATAAAATTACTAGCGGACCCGACAGACGTTGTCCTGTCTACACGTCTTTAATTTGAAAATTTCAAACTTTTTTTTAATAAGCATTCTGGACCATTTTAATGAAAATTTTAATGAATTCAAATGTTATGACAATATCCAATATATATTTGGAGTTGAGTTTGACACTGCGATGGTGTCTGTCGGATCCAATGTAAAACATTCCAAAATCAACAAATACTAATAAATTAAAAATTAATTAAAAAAACATTGTCCAGCGGACAAAATTGTGAATCTAAACCATTCCCAGATCCCCTTGAACACACACAAAAAATTTCATCAAAATCTGTCCAGTCGTTTGAGAGAAGTTCAGTGACATACACACTCACAGAAGAATTATATATATATAAAGATTAAGATTAACAAAACAGACATCCAAAACATAAATTTATTCAATTACAAAGTTTAGTTAAATTTATTAACAAATTTTCTTTACTTTACAATTTAAATTAGACCAACGCAAAATTTACATGAATATTTTTAATTTTATATATACATACCGTTGTACAGTTTGACTTAATTAATTTTATTTTATTATAACCCAAATAAATTTCGACCAAAATCAAAATAAGTCAAAAGTAATTAACTTGATAGACTTAATAAGAGGGAATTGCGGACGACTCAATACATCGAATACGTTGAATAACAAGGCTTCGGTTCCGGTTCCGGACAGGGTTCCGGACACGGAGGTATATACGGGTAATAACAAGGGTTTTGGGGTAATGGTTCCTGGCACGGTTCTGGACATGGTTCCGGGCATGGCGGAATGTAATAGCAAGGTTTGGGTTCAGGGCAAGGCTCGGGTTGCGGACATGGTGGGATGCATTGCGGGGTGTAGATGCAAGCGGGGCCCGCGCAGGGCGGGGCGAGCGGCGGGATGCAGATGGTTGGCTGGGGGATGCACGGCTCGCGCTGCTTACAGATGCAGACGGTGTCGCCGTTCCGAGTTGTGTAGCAGCGCCAGGGGGCCGCCGATGCGAGACCGAAAAGAGCTGAAAAAACAACACCTCTTAAAAGTCTTCAACCGTACGTTATTTGAAAAGTGATTCAAACTTTGGCACAATAATGTAACTTTTTTTTATAATTTTCAATGCCAAGTAAAAGGCTAACCAAAGCAATCTACGGAAGGGATTGCTTTAATCTTGTGGTGGCAGTTAGATTACTAGATAAGTGTTATACTCACCCAAGACGAGAAGAGCCGATGAATGCATATTTGCCGACTGTGGCTACTGAAGGAAACTTTCAAGCTTTATACCACAAGTATGCCATAACATGTCACACAATGCGACGCTTCGTCAACCATACATACAACATTATAAAAAAGTTAATGTAACGTTACATGCATTAAGAAAAAATAAAACAAAATTTCGATAAATGGGAAAGTAATTTATGACATATTACTTTTGAAAAAAGATAAGTAAACAATGGACGAACCATTTTGTGGTTCCATTATCTCTCTAGTCTTTAGTAATTTGTTATATACTACGAAGCGATTCCATAAAAAAAATTCAAAAATGCATGAAACTGACGCGCGACAATCACGTGTCTTATCGAAAGTTATTGTCAATTCTATACATTTTAGAAATTCGTTATAGAATCGCTTTGGAGCGAATGCACTTTATATAGACCCGTAGATTCGACTAAAAAGAACTTTCGACTTTTCATAGCGTAGGATAAGATGCTGAATTGTTTCTGAATTATTAACTAAAAGATACCAATTAAATCCTTGTAGGAAGATAAGCGATTAACTTTTGCGAATTAAAACAAAAAATATTTCTACGTATGTATTAGTGACGCCCAAAACTTTTTACACTTTATGACATTGACGAATAAATATTTAGTCTTTCCTTTGCTACCAAAATGCTCCAATGGTTACAAATCAAATACAAATTATGTTTGGTACACCGCAACTAATTAACCGAAAGTATTTCAGTGTTAAACATCTGGCCAGATATATAAATGTTGGATTAGGCACAACAAGATACATCCGGTCAAAGACATGGGGCGACTGACCACACTCGCAGTACTTGGTACGTTTCTCTGAAACCGATTGACATCCATTTCTCTTATTGTTAAGAAGAAATTTCTCAAGTTTATTTTTTAAATCCAAATAACTGATAAACTAATTATATATATTTTTTGTTAGCTTTAATAGCGTCGACTGCGGCGGCGCCGGCGCCACAGTTCCTGGAATACTTCTTGCCGAATCCTTTCACACCGTGTTCCGAGCCATGCTACGAGCCGTGCTACGAACCGTGCTACAAGCCGTGTGAGCCGGAGCCGACGCCCTGCCTCGAGCCCATACCGCCCTGTCCCTGTCCGGAACCCATCCCGCCATGCCCCGAGCCTAACATACCCCGCTGCCCCCTGCCGTGTCCCCCGCAACCCTGGGACCGCTCCTCACCGCCAAGTAAGTATTATAGAAAGAAGGCGAAATTATAATTTTCAGTTTAGCAATAATTTTAATTGTTATTATTTTTCAGCTCCCTGCGGCAATGGACCTATTGGTGTGACTATACCGAAATCGAACATTGGCGATAAATTACGCGCGGCGGGATTCCAGGCTGTTCAGGTACCCGGAGGTACATTTTATATACAGCATCTGCCGCCGTCAATGATCCAGCCACCGCCGATTCTAGTACGACCAAACCCGCTCAGTCCGATCACGCCGCCTTTCATCGTGGTGCAGCCGCCGCAGCAGCCGCCGGTCGTGCCCCCCCAGATAGGCGTGAGACCGGAACCGCTACCGCCCATCACGCCGCCGCCTATCGTCGTGCGCCCACCTCGGCCCTGCCCCATCCAGCCTGAATCGATAGTCGTGCGCCCTCCGCGACCGGGTCCAATCCAGCCCCCAGCGGTCACTGTGACGCAGCCGCAGCCGTCTCCTATCAACCTGCCGCCTATCATTGTGCGTCAGCCGACACAGCCGACTGTGCAGCTGCCGACAATCACTATCCCCACGTCGGCTATCCTTAGGAGCCCACCATGTGCCCCCTGCACGCCCACGCCCTGCATCCCGGAGCCCTGCCCTCCTTGCCCGGGACCATGCCCATACTGCATCAGTGGTTAATGTCCATAAATCGTCCTGCTGTACATACTTACATAAGTTCATATACATCAAATAGCACTTATATAAAGCTGTATTTATGTGCTAGATTATTATGTAATTATGTACCAGTACATTTCCTAGGATCTCTAACGCGACTTTCAGCAAGTTAAAGGACTTGATTATTTTAAACGCCTGCACGAGATTTCGACTGTATTTGTACGTTTGCAAATATTAGCTTAATATTGTATAATATTTCTTGTATATATATTTCTTTAATAAATATGTGTTTATTCTACTATATATGTTTAACTTTACCTTATTTCGTACTCAATAATTGTCCTAGATCTGCTCAGGATTTGATAAAAAAAAGTACTAGAATTAAAAAAAGAAAGATTTTTTTTTCTATAATTAGTCTAAATAATAATCGGATAAAACTAATATATAAATTCCGACCATAAATCTAACTAAAATAATAAATGCGAAAGTTTCGATGAACGGATGGATGGATCTCACTGAAATTTGGCATAGATGTAGAACATATAGCACGTAGGCTATTATACCAGTTTTTTTTATTTCGATTATATATTATTCGACAAATCGATTAAGTATTTAAACTTGCAAATAAAAAATAAGATACAGGATATTTGCTGCTACATTTAATATACCTATTCATCATCATCATCAGCTCACTATACGTCCCCACCGAGGGGAGCGGAGCCTACCCTAAATTAAGAGTGATTAGGCCATAGTCAACCACCTATTATTTATATGAAAATGCTAGGCTATGAAATACGCAACTTTAATAAAAAATAAGTAAAATGAAGGATAAGTATTACTTGGTTAAGTAGTGAAGTTAGGTTCGAATGAAGTTAAGGCTGATTATACCAACTTTTACAAGTTGGTTTTGATTTAAAGATTACCAATCTTTGAAATGTTATATATTTTATTGTTTTACGTAAGAATTGTTTTATAATAAATGTTTAAAAAGATTAATTTTCATTTTATATTGACTTTAATAGATAAAACAAGACATGTACATAAATATTATAAAATACTGATAAACTTACATGAATAGTGTGTCGATTGACCAAAAAAACAATAGCTTTATAGACCAGGCTTAATTATCACCTACCTAACCAGCTTAATAGCCATAGAAAGTGAATGTCAACGAAGAAGTAAGTATACGATCGTATTATATTACGACCCAATCATATTAATTAATTCAAACCGAATTTTAATTTTACCATTAAGCTTTGAATAAAAGAAAGGAAATAATATCCTTCTATAATTTTTACCAATAAATCTTACAAAATAAATTCTCGTGTCACAATGTTAGTTAACATACTCCACCGAAACGGATCGATCTTTATGAAATTTACATGCATATTTTGTAGGTCTGATAATTGGTTATCTATTTATTAATCCCGAGCGGACGGAGTCACAGACGACAGGTTTGAGATATAAAATAAGTCAAATGTTTTCTTATCCTGGACGTTTTAAATAAAAGATCTTTTACTAGAGAATAATGGAGATGAGATGATTGGGTAACAAAAAATAATTCATCATCATCTCCTATTCTAAGTTAAGGGTGATAAGGGTAAAAAATTAATTATTTACTTTCATTCTTTTCTCACCTTTGTTAACATTTAATTTCTTTACGCGCGTAAAAAAAACAAAACATAAAAATCCGTAACTAATTGTATAAAATTTTATCAATGTTTAATTTCTACTATTTTGTACATTACTTATCTTCTGCTTTTATTTGATATGCATTTTGTAAAAATATTTTAGAAGTAAATCAAAAACCGTTGTATGTATTGAAAAATATGAAATATATTAAAAATATCTAATCAAATTTGAACTCTATGCTAACTAAATAAGTATCATGTTTCATTGTAACATTGTATTTATTCTTTTAGCCAAATGTGATATTTTTTTGTATAAAAGTTGCACACAATTTCGTGGAAAATTAGACGACCGCAAGATGGCGCCGGGCTCCATCGTATGGTTATTTGGTAAGATTTGATTTAGTTAATTATTTCAATAGTCCTTCTTTACTACAACTAATTAAACCCAATACTGTTGGTGTCAATACATCCATCATCTTCTTCCGTCCAAAACCAAAGTCAAATACTTTACTTATAATTAGTTAGCTTTCAACAAAAATTATAAGTTAGGGTTGTCAATCGTTTGTTTTCAGCCCTTCTATTGAGCACGGCAAGTTGCCAGCCGCTGCCAGACCCCGAGCCGCAGTATCCCTGCGCAGAGTACCAGCCTTGCGAAACCTGGGAGCCCCCACCATGCGAGCCCTGCCCCCCGCCATGTCCCCCACCTTGTCCCCCGCCCTGCCCTCCGCCTTGCCTTCCGCCCTGCCCTCCGCCCTGCCCTCCGCCCCGTGCCGAAGATGAGGTCGTTCAGATCGGACCATGCAACCCTTGCGACCGCCCAGTCAACTATATGTATGGACAGGCACCCCCAGGTTAGTATACCTTGCGTAGAATGGATTGGCGATCAGCAGATCTTTTGTTCACTTCCGTAAAATATACTCTGGGTGCATCTGTGTTGTTACAAGTCTCAGAAGCTTGTAGTTAATAAATCTGTACACCTGATGCTTATTTTTTTCAGGGTCAATCATTATCAGGCCTGGCCAAGTCCGGTTTAGGCCGCGGCAGCCGATCACGGTGAAGCCTGGCCCTATCCAGTTGCCGCCGCCGGCCGTGGTGTGGGTGAAACCTGCGCCCGTTCAGCCCGAGACCCCCGCTCCGATTACCGTACGTCCGCCGCCCGTGCAGCCACCCACACCCGCGCCTATCACAGTCCGGCCACAGCCCGTCACCCCGCCTAGACCTGCGCCCATCGTTGTCAGACCAGCCCCGGTGCCTGTACCAAAACCAGCGCCTATTAAGGTATATATTAACCCAATTAAGATAAGAGACAATTCATTGACTTGTAAAAGCTTAAAGGACTCAAAACAACCAGCAAGTTTATTTTAACGTGTTAAGGATTGTTTTGTTTACTCCAGGTACAACCGCAACCAGTGCAGCCACCAGAACCTGAGCTACTAGTTGTAAAGCCACCAAGGATCAGCGTACCGGGACTGCCCGTCGTCTGCTTCCAGCCCAACCCTCCATCTTGCTTCAGGACATCAGGCAGCGCGCTTATCTCCCTCTACCAGCAGCGACAGCCGTGCCTAGAACCAATACCGCCGTGTCCCATGGAAACAATTCCACCATGTCCTACACCCATTAATCCGTGCCAAAACCCCATACCACCTTGCGCGTAATGTGAAACGATTATGTCATCTTTGGGTGTATAATAATATATAGTATATATATTTACATATAGTAATTAAGCTAAGTTTGCAAAATGTTTGTAGTCAGTCGAAATAAAGTGCAGGCATGTTACTATTGTGCAAATCAATTACTTTGTTTTTCTTGTTTATACTACCTAAGTTTAAAACTAAAAAAACAGCTTAAAAATGTATGTTCTGGTAAAGCTAAGGGTCAGGTTAGGAGATAAAAAAATATATATTCAAATAGATATAATTTATTGGGCCAAAAATAAAATTATTACATATATTTTCCAGTGTCAAAACTAAACTTTTTTTTCTACAAACGAGCATGTTTCTAATGAAGATTTTGATAAATTCAATGTTAAATGAATACACGGTGTTGATGTTAAAACAGAATATAGATCTTTGACAAAATTTATATTAGAAACCTGCAAGTTTGGGGTTTTTTTTATTTGCTCATGATTTTAAAAAGTCAATTCTATATTACATAGGAATTGCAATGAAGTGATTATATTGAGATTCTGCGTTGTTTTGTAATTTATGACTTTGTAATGCCAAGGGTTGTCGTACACTCAAACTTACGAGCGTGTTGGTGTTATCACTCGACGAATGGTAAGAAGAGTGGCTATTTATAAAAAAGGAACTCCCGCCGCTCCCAGGCCCATGCCCAGTCCATTCAGAGGCATTCCGAGTGGTAAACCACCTAGAGGCAAGCCTCCAAGAGGTAAACCACCCAGAGGCAGGCCTCCGAGAGGAAGGCCGCCTAAAGGCAATCCCCCGAGAGGCATGCCACATGGACTCAAACCAATATTAGGTGTACTTTCACAGACAGTAGAAGAGCCTAAACCGTTGATCATCGGTAAACCAGTGTAAGGATAGCCCAACGCGCCATAATTCAACATGTTAGGGACATTCTCACATACAGTTGTAGATCCGACATTAGGGACGCCGAGAGGCAGGCCTAAAGGCAGACCGATCGGGTAGTTACCCCACTGGTTTAGTAAGTTGAGTCCTCCCAATCCTCCAAGGCCTATGTTAGGGGTGCTTTCGCACACGGTGGCAGAGTTTAGAGCTGGGTAAGGCAGGCTGTAGGGACCGAGCCCGCCGTAGAGAGGGAGACCACAGCCATAGTACGGATAAATGTTGGGTGTAGATTCGCATACTGTGGTGGCGCCACCTAGCGGCACGCCAGGCATATTCTGTGCAGACTCGCACACTGTCGTCTGACCCAATGGGTTGCAATACGCGGAGTACGCCAACGCTGAAAGTAGTTGGAGATTTTAAGGTTGATGAATAAATTAAGACAAATTTTAAATAGAATTAATAATATTATGCCAATTTTAATTTACAATTTGTTGATTTAGTAATAGTTCTAAACTACTTACCAACGAACAATACACAAGTGATGGTATTCATGTTAGTTTTTTTCAGGTTCAGGTTTGACTTCTGACTGTCTGTAACATACTGTATTTGAACCCCCTATATATACGAAAAATATTAATTTCATTGTATACAATTGTGACATTGACACGGTTCACGGCTTTCATGAATTAATCAAAAAAAATCTTATCTTTATAATTAATCCAGATTGTTTTAAAAACTATTTTTCAGTATCTTCTATGAAAAAGTAATTAAAAAAGTTGTGTTTTATAAAATGGAACAGTAGACGAGTAGCTGCAGCACAAAAAGATCTACGGTTCCTATTCCTAGTCTGTAAATTAGAGGGTCGACCGATATGGTTGTCATACGTTATAGATTCGAATGTTTGGATGGATGCATGTTTGTTTGAAGATATCTCCAGAACGGCTGTATGGATCTCACTGAAATTTGGCATTGATGTAGAACATAGTTTGGAAAAACACATAGGCTACTATTTAAGTTTTTTTTTTTAAATTCATGCAGACCAAGTTGCGGGCGACAGTTAGTTATGTTAAAATAAACACGCCATTATCATTATGATTTTGTTTCCTTCGTACGTAATCTTTAGATTTTGTCATATCTGCCTATCTCATTTTGAATTCAAAGTATGAACGCTTTCTCAATCAATTCTATAGAGCTATGTTTTTCTTGGGATAATTCTCTACATGTCATGGTAGTTTTAATCGATTATATTTTCTGTCAACATTACCGCACGTGATGAGTTCATGCGTTGTAAGAAAAAAATATGTTCGTCGCGCTACCGTCGTTTGTTACAAAACAAATGAACACCAAATCATAATTAATATTTTAAACTAAACTTACCTTATGAGATATTGCGATGTATTCAGTAAACTTCAAACTCAGACGTACACAATCAAAGGACTTAATCACACTGAATTTTATTTTTGTGAGTCGCTGTGTAGACTCTTTATTAACCACCTTTTTTATTAATTTTTATAACACAATTTAGTTTATTTAAATTACTGTGTATTCTATTTGAGGTTTAAAGCTGGCAAAAATTAAAGAAGAATAAAAGATAAAAGGAAGAAGATTTCAGAGAACGAAAGTTTCATCAGCAAGATGAATTTCTTTAATCCAACTTTGCTTTTATTTCTTGGTAAGAGATTTGTTTTTATATTAACTATTTTTAATTGCTTATTCTTTATGTGAATCAAGTTGGAAAATTGCAATTATTTGACTTATTAATTAATCTTAATATTGTTTTTATTCCAATTCACACGAATGTGGCGACATCTATACCACACTTTCACGTAAACAGGTATATTGCTGTACGCAGCCATGTTTACTAACAGCCAGGTCATTCTCGCTCCCGCTGGACGTCAAACCTGTCCGCAAAGCGGTATGATCCGCTTGCAGAACCAACCTCATTATCCAATGAAGGTTGTAGTCGCGTTGGATCAGTTAACCTCAGACAAAAGCAGCAATGGTACGTATTTTAATCGATATAGTTAATTTCTACCTACTTATAGACATTCTCTACTAATATTTGGATATGTTAAGGCTAAATATTATAGCTTATAGTTATAGGTCATAGCTAATAGGTTTTAAAACGTTAATTCAGTTAATGATGTACAGCTCCCCCAGCCGATGCAATCTCTCAAGCGTCGCGCTGCCGGCCCGAAGCGAGCCGCATCTTCACCAAGCTGTTTAGCATCCCTGGTGCCGTCGCTGACTCATTCCTTAGTGGAGAGATAATGTTTTAAATAGCAATAAATGATGTTTTTCACCTAATTTGTTCTTACTTCGATTACTGAATACCAGTTTCAGTTTACTATTTGTAAGTAGAAAGTAAGACGATTAGGGAATTTTTAAAATAACTTTTTATAAGTAAGTTTTAGAGTTAATAGAATTTAAGTTTTGCAAAATAATTCAGAAAGAAACAATCAAATTCTTTTCTCATTGTTATATTAACATAGACTAACATTTTATAATTGTTTTGAATATTGATATTGATTTGACGAGTATTAATAACGGTTAATGCCGCACATCGTAAAGTCTCCGTTAGTGATGATTTAATTAACAAATATACGCTAAGCGTCTCCCTTAGTTAACGGTACTGAGTGCGGCATATCTCACTTTCCTGATAAAGCATTTTTAAAAGCGCTAGCACCGGCTTGCAGTGCCTCTAGGAATCTCGGGGCTTCTGTGGTAAGGGTTTTGGTAAACTCCTCGAAGTTCTGCTGCTGTTGAGTGGCCAGTTTAGTGAGACCCTCTTTGAACGTATCAATATTAATGTTTTTAGGGTCTGAAACGTCTTTGAATACATCCCGCGCTTTTTCTTCGGTTACTTTTACGCCGTCTATTATTTTTGCTATAAGTAAAATGAGTTTGATAAATCGTAGTGGTAATATTCTTAGCTTTTAAGCGCTTATCCTGGTTGGACTGTATGACAACCCGGTGCATCGATCGTAAGTAACCCGAAGGATAATGAATATCTTACTAATATTATAAATGCTTATGTTTGAAAATATCTCGAGAACGGCTGTACGGATCTCGCTGAAATTTGGCATAGATGTAGAACATCGTAACACATAGGCTTCTGATTTTTTTAATGTCGCGCAGACGGAGTCGCGGGTGACAGCTAGTATATAATAGATTAGTAAATCTTACCATCTTTCATCCACTGTATGACACCGTCTACGGAATTTTTACCGGCTTTTATGAGTTTTTCAAATTGCGGCTCCATTTTTAATGCGAAGTACAAAGCGAATAGAATGAGAAGAAGGGAACAAGTGAAACAGGTAATTTTGATTATTTTATATAACTTTTATAATAATGTTAGTCGATGTTATTATTTATTGACGTTATGTCACGATGACTTATCAAGTATGTCGACTTACGAGATTTATTTACGTTTTTAAACATTTTATTTTAAAGAAATTCTTGTTAATTTTCCACGGAAATAAAGTTTTTTATTTATATTATTGAATTTATATTTTATGTTATTAAATAGATGTAGCTATAACCAAATGAATAAAAAAAAATATTTCCTGCCAATGTTCTCTTTTCTTCTCTTCCTATAACTTCCTTTCACTGATTCAAGAGTTCTTTATCCTAAAGGTCTATCATGATTTTTTTTTATTTTAAAATATCAGCAGATTTTTATAAATTTACTAACATTCCTTGTACCATTCCAACTAAGCTCTTAGCTTGTGCTAGGATATGGTTTACGACAATAGTCGAATGGCAGGATTCCAACGCCCGACCTTATGATCGGATATCCGTACCCTTAACCATTAGGCTATTGGCGCTTGTTATTCAAAATATTCAAAAATGTTAAAATTTATATGAAATTTGTCGTACTTTACGCCCTATAAAGGCTTTTTACGAACCTTACTACTTACTAATATTATAAATGAGAATGTTTAGATGGATGTTTGTTTGTTGGTATCTCCAGCACAACTGAACGGGTTTCGATGAAATTAGGCATATAGAACATAGTCTGGTTGAACACATAGGCTATTGTTTTTTTTAAATTCCGCTCGGATGGAGTAACAGGTGACCTACTCTGATAAGAATTTTGTCTACGACATAACGAATGACTAGCAAACGTTAACGTTAGGTACTTTTAGACATAATTGGTAACAATCCTTTGGCGCGAATGACGTGTTTTCATTACAAAGTCAAGTGTCAGAATGATTAGTGAGGGGACATAAGCGTCGACATTTTAGTAAGGCTAGTGTTGCCCCAGTACAACGGCATAGTGTCGGAATTTCTTCCAAACAGTTCCGAGATTTTTCTGTTGATTTTTTTTTAATAAAAAAAGCAAAATTATCGACTTAATTCTTTTTTATTTCAGATTATTTCAATACAAAAATATAATACTCAGAAATTACAAATTACGTTTGATTGTAACTAGGCTTTATAAAAAAGCAAGCCTAAACATTTATAACAAGTTAGGTTAAAATATATCTAACCGGGGATTTGGCGAAACACTTGTATATTGCTATCTCTATTTTCCCAAGCAGTGTGAGAGAGATAGATATACTTTGTAAGGGTGTTTTGAAAGAAGAGACTGGTTATCAAAGATGGCGTCTCTAATAGTCGCGAGGCAATTCTTTATTCAAGTTACTTAAATTCACATTTGCATTATATTACTAGTTATATAAATATATATTATTTGAAAAAAAAAACAAAATTTTTAACTTGATGGCAACATTTATATATTATTTTAAGAATATTGCATTAAAAATATTATATTTGGTTTATTATTGTGATTTAGTAATTTAACTGAGACATGGCAACCCCAAACTTCATTTTGAGAACTAATTTCAGTATTATACTAAAATAAATCATGTCAGACAGCGTCTATAGCTTTTAGCTCCTAAAAATATATTTATACACAAAAAAATATATAAAAAAACACAATAAAATATCTAAAACTCAACCAACGCAATACCATCTCAATCTATATACAATGACACAATCAATAAGGATGACGTCACCCCGATTATATACAATTCAATGTAGTCAGACAAACTTATCCGGCCCAGTGACAATCACTATTATCACGGCTTTTTCTACTTTGATAGAAATATGACGTATATAAAGCTACAAAGATTTTGAAACGCCTTAATGTAAATGGCAGATGGTCACCGGGTCAAATAACCTTATCCATCTATATACGTTTAATTCGAGATGCCTTGACATATGTCAAACATAACGCGCGAAACTATAACTAATTGATTTCTGAGATGTATTAAACATATCCCTGTCTTTGACAAAACAGAGAAAAAAATATATTTTAAAAGGGGATTTTGGTCTTAGAAACCCACTGTAAATCGTTAGCTTCGTATCTTTAGAATACGTGAAATCAGATGTTGCGAATGTTTTACTAAAGAAAGATGGCGCTCTTTCCAAGATAACAAAATGGCGGGTCGAGAGATATAAAAAGAAATGGGTTACTTTTTTCGTATGCTAGCCAATTTATACTAATATTATAAACGGAAGTTTGTTTAAACGCGCTAATCATAGGAACTCCTGGTCCGATTTGAAAAATACTTTTTTTGTCGGATGGTCCATTTATAGAAAAAGGTTTAAGGCTATATAACATTATGCTGCGACTTATAGTTTTTTTTAATTCCGCGCGGACGGAGTCGCGGGCGACAGCTAGTTTAAAATAAATTTGCTTATCATTTCTCTGGATATAAAGTGTCTTATTTTCCATCGTTGCTATAGTTTTATTTTGAAAAATATTTAATTCAATTTTAATTTGATATGTTAGGAAGCTCAATGAAATTCAACAAAGACTTTAAAAACTTTTATCTCTTCACTATTCACTTTTCTAACCGTGTTTTCACCACCGAAAAAATTATAAGATATCGTCATCTCTTTCATTCTGTATGAAAAAGAAAGAGATAGCATACCGCCATTTCTTTCATTCTGTATGAGAAAGAAAGAGATAAATATATTTTTGAATGGGTGATACGGCACGGAAAAACACGGTTACTCATGACAAAGATCATGGAATGTCTTGCCTTGTTTTTAAATATACAGTCAAGCCGGGATAAACGAGGATCCGAGGGATCGTGATATTTTTTCTCGCTTATAAAGGTTTCTCGCTCATGGAAGTTTCTCGGACACTTACTTTATAGGTTTGACTTTATTGATTTTTTCTTTCTTAAAATCTTACAAAGAAAAATGTTATTATAAAGATAAAAATGTATAGAAAACATAGAAATAGTAAATAAACAAAAAACTAACTTATATCTATATTAAAAAGTATATACAGGGATGAATGGATTGGTACCACTGGTCAATTAAAAAAAAATATTTAAAAAATCCAAAAATGATTCTGTGAATTATTTAAAATACATAAAAATATATATATTAGCTTTTCATCAATATTTTGTGACAATAGCATGATTTTATAAGAACATATTAAAAACATATTACAATATTCTGATAATATATAACACATAATTATATCTTTTAACATAAATAGCTTCATTTTTTACTTCATTTGTTCTATAATAAAGTTAAAAGAAAAAAAAATTGTACCTCGCCTTATTGCGGAAAAATATGGAACTAAATTTAATTATTAAAAAACGATGTTATCAAGACGATTGAAGCGCCATCTTACTAAATTTTTAATAGTCCTTTTTAGGCAACAATAGGCATATTCTATATTTTTTCCTCAATCATTTAAAAGATATCTATAATAAAGAGCTAATTTCAAGTATCAATTGAGCATTAATTTCAACTATAGTTGATTAACTCATTCCAAAGTATTAAGATTAGTCAGTCGTAGTATCAACCGTTAAGGCTCGGCTGTTCTCGTGTCGGGTGCTTCGGTATGAAAGAGACGGTCAGCATGTCGTCCTCTTCTTGCAACAGACATCCGTCGTTACTTTTACTTCGGTTAAATAACCTATGGATAATAAAAATAATTATAAGTAAAATTGTAGATAATAAAACTTCACTGCTGTGATACTTGTATTAATATACAGTCGAACTTGGATACACGAGAACCCTCTATAAGCGAGAGTCAGGCTTCTTCGGACAACCTCCGAGAAACCGAGAAACTCTGATAAAAGGGATATCACTATAACAGGGAAAATATCGGTATCCCTTAGGCTCTCGCTTATCCAGGTTGAACTATATTCTGAAACCACCTTAAAGATATCACTGATTTAAGACAAAGATATATAATTCGCTACCAACATTACAAAAAAATAAAGCATTGATATATTATGCTATATATGTATAAATATAATAAATACATAAATATCATAATATATGTATATACAAAAGCTAATGGAACAAAAACTTAAGACACACAGATGGACGTATGGTTCACACAAACACACATCCAAATATCCATACAAATAATTTCATACACACATTCTTTTTGTAATGTAACATATATGTAAAAACCCACCCTACACAAAAAATCCCTACTTTACCATACCAAAAGACCATATCCCATACACACAACGACATTCAGGACCATCCACCGTCACACACACGCAAAATAATACCAGTCAACTACACCTGCAGGTCACTTCCAGGCCGGCCGCTTGTCCCCGCTTCGTGCCCCACAACAACAAGGATTAATTACATACAGACAGTGCTAAGATATTGTGCCATATCAGCGATTCCCAAACTTTAAACTAGACCACTTTCTAAAATTTTACTAGTTATGAACCCCTGGATTGATGATCCCATGGGGTCTAAATAGATCACTTTGGGAATCACTGTGCGATGATACAACTTAACTTGAATATACATACGAAGGAATACAAAATTATTTTTTGTATTTATTTGTCGTATACTCGCGTCGCTAGATGTCGCTTATATTACGCTAAGATGAATATAGTTAAAAGATCTAGATAAAATGTGAATTACATTAAGTTTGTGAAAGAACTATTATCTTTTAGCGTGTAGATGTGCAGTGATAAGGGATTTTCCAAAAAAAAATCACGAAAAATCACAAAAAATCACAAGGAGGGTAGGAAGTGGGGGCGAAATATGTTATTTGTTATACTAACTTGGCGAGTGGCGATGCGGCGCGGTCTGTCTGCAGGCGCTCGTCCAGACCGCGGTGTACTGACACAGTCTGCAGCTCCTCGCACTGCAGCGACTGCAGGTACTCCGCTGTCCGCAGCTGATCAACTGACGACTTCTTGAACCTGCAATATTTGTGTTTTTCTGATAAAAACAAAATAAAACTCGAACTCAAAGCGTCAATAGCCTAATGGTTAAGGTTGCGGATTTCCGATCGTATTCTCGGAGGCACTAAATGTGTTGAAATAAAAAAAATCCTTACGTCTTGAGTAGTAGACTGGAGCAGACCACAGA